GCTCCCTCCCATGCCAGTCACGTAGCCCCTTCCTCACAGCACCATCTAGGCCAGGTACATCCACTGAAGGCTGGGAGGCCTGGGGATGAGGTCTCGCCCGGCTGACTTCATGTGTCCCTGGAAGGCTGGGAGGCCTGGGAGTGCCCTCGCCCGGCCTGACCATGTGTCCCTGAAGGCTGGGAGGCCTGGGATGAGGCCTCGCCCGGCCTGACTTCATGTGTCCCTGAGGCTGGGAGGCCTGGGGGTGGGGCCCTCGCCCGCTTCTGACTTCATGTGTCCCTGAAGGCTGGGAGGCTGGGGGGTGAGGCCTCGCCCGGCCTGACTTCATGTGTCCCTGAAGGCTGGGAGGCCTGGGAGTGGGGCCCTCGCCCGGCCTGACTTCATGTGTCCCTAAGGTGTCCGTGATGTGACACACGCATGTTGCGATGCCCAGCCCCATCCCGCCACTGCTCAGTCTGGCTGTGACACTGTGGCTGCAGGGTATCCTTCAGGCCATACGAGGCAGAGCCACAAGGGCCATGTCTTGCTAACCACTGTGGAGAAACAGCGACAGGAGGGAGACAGGAACCGTCTCAAGACCACTGCAGTGGCCGTGGCCAGGATCACAGAATCTGGGCGCGCCCACGGCAGAGCAAGGACCTTAGCGGTGCAGGAGAAGCTGCTATGTCACTGTGGTGTATATTCCCAGGACCGAGCACTGACTCTCGAAGCCGCTCCAATGGAAGATTCTTAGGTTGAAGACCCACAATCACTAGCAGGGGAGCATCAAGGGGAGGCGGCATCGAGGCAAGGCTCCACTCCAGATGGCTGTGGCAGGCGAGCATGGCTGGGAGGCCTGGGAGTGGGGCCCTCGCCCGGCCTGACTTCATGTGTCCCTAAGGTGTCCGTGATGTGACACACGCATGTTGCGTGATGCCCAGCCCCATCCCGCCACTGCTCCAGTCTGACGTGACACTGTGGCTGGGGTGTCCTTCAGACGCACGAGGCAGAGGCCACAAGGGCCATGTCTTGCTAACCACTGTGGAGGAAACAGCGACAGGAGGGAGACAGGAACCGTCTGCAAGACCACACGAGTGGCCGTGGCCAGGATCACAGAATCTGGGCGCGCCCACGGCAGAGCAAGGACACTTAGCAGCGGTGCAGGAGAAGCTGCTATGTCACTGTGGTGTATATTCCCAGGACCGAGGAGCACTGACTCTAGAAGCCGCTCAATGGAAGGGTTCTTGGGTTGAGGACCCACAATCACTGGCAGGGGCATCAAGGGAGCGGCATCGGGGGCAGACTCCTCCAGATGGCTGTGGCAGGCGAGCATGGCTGGCAGAGCCCCTGGTGGCCTGGCCCTGTGGACCCACGACATGAGTGGGAGGTGGTGGGTTACAGGCGTCAGGAGCCCTGGACTGCTTCAGGATGACAGAGAAACAGGCCTAACCTGAGGCCAACAACTGGGCATGACGGGGCCATCCTGGCGGCACCCTGGGAGGCCTCACGTGGCCACACTCACGGCCAAGAGAACACGGAGGAAGCAGCACCGGGCTGCCAGCTGCGTTTCCACCTGCAGGGGGGCACGATGGGAAAGGACTCCCACCATTCAAGAGGGGCACAGACGGGAGGCAGGAGGGAGCAGTCGCTCAGCAGGCCGAGGTACCTGGGTGGCTTCTGACAAATGGGTGGGAAAACGGGGGAAAAGGGAGGGGTTCCCACTAAGAAGCCTGGAATAATTTAAACCCAGTCATGAGGATCACACTTTAGAACTGAAAACACCCCAACAGGGCCCAATGTGCCCCTCAGCTAAAGCACAGGACACGCAGGCAGATGCACGGGTGCCATGCCACGGCAGGAGCAGGGCCTCGCCCTCAGCTAAAGCACAGGACACGCAGGCAGATGCACGGGTGCCACGGCAGGGCAGGGCCTCGGCCCCTCAGCTAAAGCACAGGACACATGGCAGAGGCATGCGCATCACAACAGGGCAGGGCCTTGGGCCAGCCAGCAGCCAGTGGTGTGGGGAACTCTGAAGAAAGCCCCACCAGCCTGGCCGGACTTGCCGCCTCAGGCCCTGCTGGATGACGGAGCACACAGACCACAGACAGCGTTGCTTTGGAAAACACCCTGCGTGGGGCAGCCAGTTACGTGGTCACAGAAACCCGAGCAGGGCAATGGGCAGGGCAAACACGCACTCGGCAGTGCAGAGGACCTAGAGCTCTGGGGGCCAGGAGACAAGCAGTGAGAAGAGAAGACGGCACCTCCCCGGACTCCGCAGGACCTCTAGTACCTTTCAGGTACTTGGATATGTTATTATGTGAAAAAATTTTTTTGGTTTTTGAGACAGAGTCACGCTCTGTCACCCAGGCTGGAGTGCAGTGGCGCGATCTCAGCTCACTGCAACCTCTGCCTCCTGGGTTCAAGCAATTCTCCTGCCTCAGCCTCCCGAGTAGCTGGGATTACAGGCACGTGCCACCACACCTGGCTAATTTTTGTATTTTTAGTAGAGACAGGGTTTCACCATGTTGGCCAGGCTGGTCTTGAACTCCTGACCTCAGGTGATCTGCCCACCTTGGCCTCCCAAAGTGCTGGAATTACAGGCGTGAGCCACCACACCCGGCTGAAACAATTTAATAAGAAAATCGTTAACGTGGCCGGGCGCGGTGGCTCAAGCCTGTAATCCCAGCACTTTGGGAGGCCGAGATGGGTGGATCACGAGGTCAGGAGATCGAGACCATCCTGGCTAACATAGTGAAACCCTGTCTCTACTAAAAAATACAAAAAACTAGCCGGGCGAGGTGGCGGCGCCTGTAGTACCAACTACTCGGGAGGCTGAGGCAGGAGAATGGCGTAAACCCGGGAGGCGGAGCTTGCAGTGAGCTGAGATCCAGCCACTGCACTCCAGCCTGGGCCAGAGCCAGACTCCGTCTCAAAAAAAAAAAAAAGAAAATCGTTAACATGTAAATGTATAAATCCTTAATTTAAAAAGGGACAGAAGCCCCGAAAGACATACCTCAGGGCACTAACTGTGCTCACTGGTTAGGAGTGAGGGCCTTGAGTGGGAGCTTCCACCCTACTGAACGGTGCTGCTGCAATATCTAAATTATTTTCCAGGATATTGTATCTTATAATTTATTGTGAAACAAGGTCTTGTTTGTCGCCCAGGCTGGAGTGCAGTGACTCTATCATATAGCTCACTGCAGCCTGGATTCCTGGGCTCAGGCGATCCTCCCACTTTGGCCTCTCGAGCTGCTGGGAATGCAGGTATGAGCCACTGTGCCTGGCCCAATATTGTGTCATTTTAAAAACTCAAGAAGGGGTAACATAGTTGTCTGTAATCTTACAAACCACTGTCAACAGAGCACATCATTTTCTCTCTGTATATGTTAGTCTTACAATTAAACCCTGAATTAAGTGTGGTTTTGAATCTTTTCTTCCTAGTAAACAAGCCAGCCCAACACAGCCAGCACACAATGAACAAGCCACGGCTCTTCGGTTTCTCCCACGGGAGCCTCTGCCAAGGCCATAACTTCCAGAACACCAAAACTACTGGGAGAGGAAATCCTTACAAATAATTTCCAGAATGTTTAGAATAACAAATCCTGGGTCAGGTGCAATGGCTCACAGCTGTAATCCCAGCACTTTGGGAGGCCGAGGCAGGCAGATCATTTGAGGTCAGGAGTTCGAGACCAGCCTGGCCAACATGGCAAAACCCCGTCTCTACTACACATACAAAAAAAATTAGCCGAGCGTGGTGGCAGGCGCCTGTAATCCCAGCTACTCAGGAGGCTGAGACAGGAGACTTGTTTGAACCCGGGAGGCAGAAGATGCAATGAGCCAAGATCACCCCACTGCACTCCAGCCTGGGCAACAAGAGCGAGACTCCGTCTAAGAAAAAAAAAAAAAAAAAGGGCAGGGCATGGTGGCTCACCTGAGGTCAGGAAATCGAGACCAGCCTGGCCAACATGGCAAAACCCTGTCTCTACTAAAAATACAAAAATTAGCCAGGTATGGTGGCATATGCCTGTAATTCCAGCTACTAGAGAGGCTGAGGCAGGAGTATTGCTTGAATCCAGGGGATGGAGGTTGCAGTGAGCCAAGATCACCCCACTGCACTCCAGCCTGGGCGACAAGAACGAGACTCTGTCTCAAAAAAATAAATAAAAACTAACAAATGCTGTGTTTTAGTTAAATTATGCTTTTCTCCTGTTGTTCTCAATAAGAGTAGGGTGCACCCTTCCCACCACAGCTGCAACAGGTACAATGTCAAACTCTCCACCCACGGGCTGCTCAGGCCCCTGAAGCCCTGTGGGGTCAGGCCCGGGAGGGTTCCATCGGGGCCCCCATGCCGCCTGCTTGAGCCCTGCCACACTGCTCAGCTCCCTCCTCGGCTGGGTCCTGCCACTGGATCCCAGGCAGCAAAATCCCCGCCTCAAGGAAACCCAGCCTTTTGCCAGGAGGGTTGCCCAAGCATCATCTGAGGGCCTAGGCATGTGGATTTTCAGAGTTCCTGGGAACGGCACACAACTGGGGATGGAAACCAGCGTCCTAGAGCCCAAGTGCCCCAGCTGCAGCGAAGGAGGGACGCGGGCCTCGGGGTTCTGAGGGACAGTGGAGAAGGCAGTGTGGTGGCAGCCTCAGAAAGCCCAAGGCCGGCCGGGCGCAGTGGCTCAAGCCTGTAATCCCAGCACTTTGGGAGGCCGAGACGGGCGGATCACGAGGTCAGGAGATCGAGACCATCCTGGCTAACATGGTGAAACCCCGTCTCTACTAAAAATACAAAAAAATAAGCCGGGCGAGGTGGCGGGCGCCTGTAGTCCCAGCTGCTCGGGAGGCTGAGGCAGGAGAATTGCGCGAACCCAGGAGGCGGAGCTTGCAGTGAGCAGAGAGCGGGCCACTGCACTCCAGCCTGGGCGACAGAGCGAGACTCCGTCTCAAAAAAAAAAAAAAAAAAAAAAAAGAAAGCCCAAGGCCACCTACACATGGGGGTGAGCCCTCAAGGGGGCTCCTCGCTCACCCACCTGCACCTGCTCCTCAGTGGTCTTCTCCATCCCACTGTGGCTCTCGTCACTGAGGGCTCCGTCCTCTCCCTCGTCGCCTTCGTCATCATCCTCACTGCTGTCACTGCCGGAATCTTCCAGGCCTGAGAACACACTCTCCTCGCTGTCGGAGACGCCAGAATCGCTGCCGGTACTGTGGCTGAGCGGAGAGGTGCAGAGGAGAGGAGGCTGCAAGGAAACACTGGGTTGGTGACAACTGCCCCTCCAGGCAAGGGGCGCTGAACACTGCAGGAAGAGCTGCCTCTCACCCCTCCAGGCACCCACCAGCAGCTCCATGCAGCCTCCAGGACCACATCCCTCTAGTCACAAACATCCACCAAAACCATCCACCCAACCTGAGCCTTCCTCATCTTCTACCTCCACTGACCAGACAGACTCTTGCCTTTGGCATCGACATTTTAATTCCTAGCACCTCACGGGGAAGGGGCTTTTCAAGGACAACCTCCTCCTCTTGGAGCTCAGCTCTCAGCGCAGAACTCACACTGCTCTCTACCGCCCACTGCCGCTCCAGAGGCCCTGTGGGCTGAGGCCGGGCTGGACTCCACTGGCTCCCTCACACAGCCTGCCTAAGCCCTCTCCACACCTCACCCTGGCATCCAAGGCCCCAGAGTCATGAGGTCACTAGAAAAGGGGCTGGGGGCTGGAAGAGAACCGGGGTCCCCGAAGGGCTTTTACCACCTGCAGCAGAAGCCTCCTCATTTAACCAGATTGGGACCAACCATTGATCAGCACAATGAAAGGATTGGCTGACGAGTCACAGGAATGACAGACTCCAATTGCAACCACACACCAACCCACCCACTCCTCCCTCTGAGCAGAACCCTGCTGGCTGCGTGACACCAGCACACACAGTGTTTGGGTCCTTCACTGGCCTTAAAAAGTGGAACACGAACTTAGACTCAGGAAGCAGCTGAAGGCCAGGCACAGTAGCTCATGCCTATAACCCCAACACTTTGGGAGGCCGAGGGGGGTGGATCACCTGAGGTCAGGAGTTCAAGACCAGCCTGGCCAACATGGTGAAACCATCTCTACTAAAAATACAAAAATTAGCTGGTGGTGGCGGGCACCTGTAATCCCAGCTACTCAGGAGGCTGAGGTACCCGGGAGATGGAAGCTGCAGTGAGCCGAGATTGTGCCACTGCACTCCAATCTGAGCAACAGGGCAAGGCTCTATCTCAAAAAAAAAAAAAAAAAAAAAAAAGAAAAGAAAGAAAAAGGAAAAGAAAAGAAAATGGAAGCAGTTGAACGTAGAATTCTAGATTTTACTGCTTTCCTAATAGTTTACAAGTCTCACTTAAGGTACGACCTGGATGTATTTATTAGCTATTGCATACCGAGCGTTCTCACACAGTCTTGATGTGTCTTGGTACTCAGTCAGCTACACAATCACAGTAACTAGTGGAAACGGCACGCATGGCCTGGGCGCAAACAACTGGCTCCTGAGGACCATTTAGCTCAAGGGTGCAAGCAGCAGAACCTGGCGCCTAGAGTGGCCTGCGGGCCGTTCAGCCCATGGGAACCAGGATGAGTTGAGTTCGCTTCACAAAGCAATGGGGCAGTTTCAACAACTCAGCGCGGCCGAGGGGGCTGTGAGGGGCTGGCTGTCCATTCCCTCCACCACCCAATTTGACGATCCCCACAACCAAGACGGGGCTGAGCTGGCAGAGGGCAACAGTGAGTTCTGATACAGCAAACGCAGCAGACTCTGGGTTCTATTCAGGTTTTCTTATTCTCACGTCTAACCCATGAGCATAAAAACGTGATTAACTAACGTATAAGTAGGTTAAGCATTTACTAGGGGCGAAAGCCGAGCCCTTTTACTGGCAGGACGCACAAATGGAACGGCCGGAGAGGCTGCTGCAAGGGGCGCTTATCCCCACTCCCTGCACCCCCGTTTCTTGGCTTCCCAGACGCCGTCCTTCACCCTGCAGTCTGCTCTGCCTAAGACCCCCCGATAGAGGAGCTGCGCCCACGCCCAAGGCCGATTCACTGGGCACGGGCGCCCAGGTGACAGCAGCCGGGCCCACCCGCCCCAGCGCGGCCACGTGCCCGCTGGGCCCTCTAGGGACGCGCCTTGCCGCCCCGCATTGCCGCAGTCACCTCTGGCTCGGGCTCAGGCTCCAGTTCGGGCTCCGACCGCCGCTTCTCCGGCCGCACGCTCGGCGCCGCCGTGCGCCCCGCGCCCCGCGAACCCGCCATGTCCCGCCGCGCGCCTGCCGCGACCCGAACAGCCGCTTCCGGCAGCGACACGGCCGCGTGCGCAGGAGGACGCGCCCCGCCCAGCCCGGCCCCGATTGGCGGGCGGGGGGGGGGGCGGGACCAACACGCGCAGGCGCGCGGCGGGGCCGGGGGCCGGGGCGGGGTCGGGGCCTGCGTGCTCGCGCCGGGGGTGACGCGAGAGAGCGGCAGCGGCGGCGGCGACGGCGGCAGCGCGCCCGTTGCAAGATGGCGGCGGCCATGCTGGGCCTTGGGGCTGTGTGTGCGCAGCGGGCGGCGGCTCGGCCCGGACGGCTGGCGCGGCAACGGCGTTAGCCCGGCCCTCGGCCCCTCCTCGCGGCCGCTCCCTCCGCCTATTCCCGCCTTGCCCGAGATGGATCTGCCCGTGGGCCCCGGCGCGGCGGGGCCCAGCAACGTCCCGGCCTTCCTGACCAAGCTGTGGACCCTCGTGAGCGACCCGGACACCGACGCGCTCATCTGCTGGAGCCCGGTGAGGGCAGCGCGCGGGCGCGGGGCCCGTGGGGACCGGGAGGGAGCAGGGCCGCGGTGGACAGCGCGGGAGGGCTGCGGGGAGGGGCCCTGCCACACCTCGGCTTACGCGCGGGGAGCCTGCCCTGCCCCCGCCAGAGAAGGGCGGAGGGTCCCGAGCCTGCCTAGACGCAGAGCCTTAAGTTGGGAAAGCGGCTGCGAGACCCACACCCGATTCAACTGCTGCCCCAGCGAAGTTTCCTTGGGATGGGAGAATGGGGCGTCCCTTGCATCGGGTTTCTGCTAACTGTTGGGCGGTTGCGGAAGTGTCCGCGCTTAGGGCAAGCACCCGGCTTCGCCAGCGGACGCTGTGCTCCAGAGGACATCGGCGTCCCCGGGGGACGGCCTACGGGGTGCTGGGTCGGCAACTATTCGGAGAAAGTCAGGACTTGGCACGTGAAGCGGAGGGCGTCGCTGTAGTGGAAAAGGAAAGGCAGTGGAAACAGAAAGTAAGACGTCATGAAGCTTCAGGTTGATCTCAAGCCCGTTTCCGAATCCCAAATCTGAGTTTCCCAGGAGGAGTTTTGTTTTTCATTCCTTGTGGGGCGTCTTTACTCGTGTTTCTGTCTTCAGTTGCCTGGCAGCAGGCTTGTTTACACGGTCCGACCCTGCAAGACCGGACAGCTCCGGTTTGCAGAAGTAAATCAGTGATTGTCTGGAGTTGGAGATCAGAATCTGCTGTTGACATCCTGGCTGTGACGTCGTGTCCGGTGAGGGGTAGAGCCACAGCCTGTGGCTGGCAAGTGATGGCCTGAAGAAAGGCCACACTGGCCGAGCGGGGTGACTCTTTGCTGTGAAAGCAGCACTTTGGGAGGTGGCGGCGGGTAGATCACTTGAGGCCAAGAGTTCGAGACCAGCCAAGACAATATGGCAAAACCCCGACTCTACTAAAAATACAAAAAATTAGCCGGGCGTGGTGATGCTTGCCTGTGGTCCTAGCTACTTGGGAGGCTGAGATAGGAGGATCCCCTGAACCTGGGAGGCAGAGGTTGCACCGAACCGAGATTCCACCACTGCACTCCAGCCTGGCAAAGAATGAGACCCTGTCTAAGAAAAAAAAGAAAAAAGAAAGGCCACTGATCACTGGGAGCTTTTGGAGGGACCGTGACAGGTGGGATGCCACCAAGCATGTGTGGCCTCCCAGGAGCTAAGACCCCAGAGTTCCTCAGGCTCTGCTGAGGGCCTCCCATTTGCACAGCCTCTTTCTGCTGTTAGGAATAAAGAAAAGTCTGAACTGAAGCTGCTCCAGGCAGGAGGCCAGGTCTTCTGCTTCTCGGGTTTACTGAGGCCCTGCTTTACCTACAGAGTGTTTGGGAATAAAGAGAGGACTGGAAATCTTTGCTCTTCTCAGAAACACTTTGTATTTGTCCTGCTGACACCTCTGTCTGTGTCGGCCTTCCCATCCCCAAGTCCCATTACAGCGCAGTGCCCCTTCCTGCAGGCTGACTTCATTTCACCATCTCTTCATTCTAGACCTTGGCATTTTTGTGCAAAGGAAATATTCCCATGTTTCTGTTTTCTTTTATCCGTCTTTCTTTTTCTTTCTTTCTTTCTTTTTTTTTTTTTTTTTTGAGACAGCTTCTCGCTCTGTCGCCCAGGTTGGAGTGCAGTGGTGCGATCTTGTCTCACTACGACCTCCACCTCCCAGGTTCAAGCAATTCTCCTGCCTCAGCCTCCCGAGTAGCCAGGACTACAGATGCACGCCACCACACCTGGCTGATTGTTGTATTTTTAGTAGAGACGGGGTTTCACCACATCAGCCAGCCTGGTCTGGAACTCCTGACCTCAAGTTATCCACCTGCCTTGGCTTCCCTAAGTGCTGGGATTACAGGTGTGAGCCACTGCACCCAGCCCTTCCTTCTTTTTCTTATTCCCCTTAAGCCTCAGAAGTACTCTCTTGCCCCATTGGGGGAGGGGCATCTGAGATTATCTGGGATATTCTAAGCTTAATCCTACTAGCACGATCTGTCCTGTCTCATAATCTGCTTGCTGTTTCTGCTTAAAAGATTATGAGGCATGTGGGTTAGGTCCCAGCGTACTCTTTTTTGAGACCGAGGCATGTTCTGGGCAGGGCTTTTGAGCAAGGGAGGCAGATTTGATGAGGCCTGTGGCCAGCCTCTGCTCTCCTCACAGGTGCACCATCTGTGGGCCTGTTCTCCCTTGGGAGAGATGGGGAGCCGAGTGGAATGTGAGTGTTTGGTTCCACCTGGTCAGTATAAAGTGGCAATGGTTGGTGCAGGATGTAGCAGTGGGGGTGAGCATGGCAATGAGATAGAAACACTGACTTCAAACTGGAAGGAAGCCCTTCTCCAGACTGTGCAGGGAGCTGCAGAGCTTTCTGGCGCTGGCTGCATGGCCTGGAGAAAGGAGGTGATCGTCCCATCCTGTGGCTTTGAGAGCACTCACACAAGCCCTGAAGACTCCATGTCGGCAGAGTCCCAACAGGGGACCCTCCCACAAATCTACTGCCCAGGCCCAGCTGGCTCTCGGAGGCCTTGAGAAGGCCCTGGTGCTCTTGCTCTCTGCTGCCTTCTCTGGGACAGTCTCCTGGCTCAAAGTCTTACCACCATTCTGCCAAGAAAAACCCTCCCTGTTTGACATAAGAAGATGAGGCAGCATCACAGGCATGGTGACTAATTCTCAGGGCTGAATAACTTGGGGGAGACTGAGGCCCAGAGACTGGCCAGTGACTTTACTGAGCCTGGCCAGGAATGGGACCAGGTCTGGACAACCATTGCACTTCCCCTCCCTGGCCTGAGATCGGGACTCCCACTGCAGCCACTGGAGGCAGAATGCCGGGTCACTGTCCAGGAGAGCCCATTTGGTGGGGACTATGACCCCATCCCTGTGGTGTTCGATTTCCCACCCCCCAGACCCTCATTCCCACGAGCACCCCACCCACACAGGCAGAGGCCTTGAGGGGACCCAGCAGGTCGTGGAGGACAGCACAGCCCCGTCTGCCTTGGAGAGGAAACATGTCAGCCACAAGGTTAATATCCCGGGAGATCCACATAGGAGCATGGGCATGGACATGGGTGGTCCTCCCTCAGCCAACTTCTTAACAGCTTATCCCAAAGGTGCGCCTGGATCCAGTACCACTGAGACCCAAAGACGGGGTTGGGGGACTGAATACCGGGACTGACAGGCAGCTCCGTAGAACTGAGACCCATGAGACCAGGGACCCGCAGCCTCCCTGCCCCGTGCCCTGGTGCCAGCCCTCAGCCCAGCTTCCTCCTCTGCATGCAGCAGCTCCTCTGTCCACCAGCGGAGGCTCTTCTAGGGCCTTGCTGGGCTGCAGCTGACTCAGGAGGGCAGCTGCCTCTTCAGAGAATTTGACAGCATGGAGACCCAAACAAAAGCAGAAAGTGAAGCCTCAGAACTGGGTTCACCATCATCTCAGTTTTTTACAAACTATGATTTTGTCCCACCTTTATTAACAAAATAAGGAAGTATGAAAAGTAATCTTAACATCTGAGATGGTGAGATTACAGATTTTTTTTTTTTTTTTTTGAGATGGAGTTGCCCAGGCTGGAGTACAATGACACAATCTCGGCTCACTGTAACCTCTATCTCCGGGGTTCAAGTGATTCTCCTGCTTCAGCCTCCTGAGTATGGGATTACAGGCACCCACCACGACACCCGACTAATTTTTTTTGTATTTTTAGTAGAGACAGGGTTTCATCATATTTGTCAGGCTGGGCTAGTACTCCTGACCTCGTGATCCGCCTGCCTCAGCCTCTCAAAGTGCTGGGATTACAGATGTGAGCCACTGTACCCAGCCCAGATAATTTTTATAGTTATATTTTTCTAAAATACTTTTTTAAAAAAATGAACATATACTTCATTTTTTTGTTGTTGTTGAGTTTTTGTTTTGTTTTGTTTTTTTGAAACAGAGTCTCACTCTGTCACCGAGGCCACACCCGGCTAATTTTTGTATTTTTTAGTAGAGATAGGGTTTCACCATATTGGACAGGCTGGTCTCGAACTCCTGACCTAGTGATCCACCCGCCTCAGCCTCCCAAAGTGCTGGGATTACAGGCGTGAGCCACCACGCCCGGCTAAAAAAGTGAACATATATTTCATAAGCGAGAGTAGAAAATGTTTTCAAACCTGATCATGTTCTAAAAAGAGACCAGCCCAGCCCTACTTCCCCCTGCCCTGCAGGGCTAACTGTGGCTGCCCTGGGCAGCTGTGGACTCCAGGCTGAGGCCTGAGAACAAGGCACAGCCACATGACCTGTGCCAGACAAATGCTAGAATGATGGTCATGCAGGTTAGAATGAACCCAGGTAGATAGAGGCCTCAGGATCAGGGTGAGACCAGAGGGGACACCTGGGGGGCACCTGAGTGCAAAATTTAAGGAAGCACTTTTTTTTTTTTTTTCCCCTTAAGCCACAATCTTGCTCTGTTGCCCAGGCTGGAGTGCAGGGCTATGATTGCAGCTCACTGCAGCCTCTGCCTCCCAGGGTCAAGTAATCCAGTCACCTCAGCTGAGTCACTGGGGCTACAGGCTCGCACCAC